CCAGCTGGTCTGCGTAGCCGAGTTTGTACTGAGTAGGGCAGTCTCGACACTGGTCTGTGTAGGAGTCTGTACTGACTGGGACAGACTCGGCTGTGGTCTGTGTAGGAGTCTCTACTGACTGGGACAGACTCGGCTGTGGTCTGTGTAGGAGTCTCTACTGACTGGGACAGACTCGACATTGGTCTGTGTATGAGTCTACTGAATGGGACAGACTCGGCTGTGGTCTGTGTAGGAGTTCGTCTCCTCCCCAGCCGTACCTCCGGCCGTCGTCGGAGACAAACACTGCCGTCGCGTCCATTAGCGTCCATCTACAGAGCGGGCCGAGCCGGGCCGTCCGGGCGGGCGGGCGGTGCTGGCGGCGGCACTGGGACCGCCGCGCCGGGCCGGCCCGGATGGACCGGATGGACCGCGGTCCCGTGATGAGACCGCCGCGCCGGACCCAGGACCGGCACCAGTCCGCGGTCAGCCTGGGGCGGCCTCTGGCTGACCGCGGGGTGAGGCCGTCGCTGGTCAGCAGTCTCCGGTGAATTGTTCACTGACCGTCGGGATGCCTCGTCATCTGTTGTTCAGTCCCCCCCAGTGGTTGGATATGTGACGTCACCCGTCTCCCCGAGTGGCGCTGTTCTGTGACGTCACCCGTCTCCCCGAGTGGCGCTGTTCTGTGACGTCACCCGTCTCCCCGAGTGCCGCTGTTCTGTGACGTCACCTGGCTCCCGAGTGGTGCTGTTCTGTGACGTCACCCGTCTCCCGAGTGGCGCTGATCTGTGACGTCACCCGTCTCCCGAGTGGCACGGCTCTGCTCATTACTGCGGCCTTTTAACGAGCCGGCGCGGGCGGCCGGGGCGTGGCGCGGAGCGCCGCACCGCCAGCCGCCGCTGTCGCGCCCCGGCCGACAGACAGTCTCGTTTGGTCGTCAGACACGTAACCCACTCATTATCCTCCGATAAACCGCGGCGCGCCGGCGTCTCATTAACCGTCCGACGGGCACTCCTGTCCCCTGATCACTCCGGACCGGCCACGATTGTCACTTCTGCACATTTTTTCCTCCAATTAATTTGAGCGTCATTTTTGGGAGGTTGGCGCGGGCGGCGGCCAGGTGCCCTCTGGTCGCCTAACGAGCCGCGCACACCGCCGGCCGCCTAATGATCTCCGCCTGCCACCGGCCGGCGGCCTTTGATGAAAGAATGCCTCGGTCGCGCCGCGTCGCCGCCGACTTTGGCCGCCAGCAGACTTAGGCGGCGACTGCCAGCGCCCAGCAGACCGTCAGCAGACCGTCAGCGGACCCGCGGCCGCCAGCAGACCCCAGCAGGCCGCCTCAGGACGCTAGCAGACCACCAGCAGACCCAGACCGCTACTGCCAGCGGACCCGCGGCCGCCAGCGGACCCGCCAGCAGACCGTCAGCGGACCCGCGGCCGCCATCAGGACGCTAGCAGGCCACCAGCAGACCCAGGCCGCTACTGCCAGCAGACCGTCAGCAGACCCGCCAGCAGGCCGCCAGTAGAGCGCGACCGCGTCGGATGCGACGCTCTATTTCCGGCAGTGTCGTGACGACGGTCAGAGCTGATGAGTGGCTGGTGATGCGCAGGAAAAAGTACGCTAAAACCGAGTCATTTAATTGCAGCAAAACAGTGTTTGATGTGGTTTGCACACTGCACTCGCCACTCCGGAACTGTGAACATACCGGGCTGGTTATGATATTCAGGGATCAATTACAAACTGGCGTGATTCTCCTGTGAGAACGGACACTGAGCCCGGCCGGGTTTGGCGTGTAACATGCATCCGCTCTGTGTGAGCGCGGCGGCTGGTGGGATTTGGTCGGGCGGACGGCTGGTGGGATTTGGCCGGGCGGACGGCCGGTTTCCGCCGGCGGCGACCGCAGCTGCCCGGCCGGCTCGTCTCGCCTCTGCGGTTTCCTTGATGCCATCACTACTCCGGCTGTCGCCGCTTGGTCCGATGCAATCCGCTCATTAAAGCGGCTCTTGGCTGCATTCCCAGATTTAATTAGGCAAAACTCATGATTCATCTGCTGTTGGATTGTTTCCTACATCGTGTTTGACGTCCCAACACGGCCACGGCTGTCGAAAGCCGAGGATAAGGCCCGGTCGGGCCGTATAGGGTTTGTTTACGGAATACGTCGGCTGCGGATAATGACACTGATTGGGCGCTTGTTGGCATTTTGATTGCATTCTCGGTTTTCTATGCAGCCATGTTTCGTTGGCTGATGAATGGGGTTCTGCTGCAGTGAGCGGTGCGTTCAGCTGGCACCGGTCGTCTGAGGACGACACTGATTGGCGGGGCGCGGCGCCGGGCGGATCACCGGCGGCGCCCCGAGTCCAGTCTGGACCACACCGGCGGGGCAGTGGGCACTGACTGAGCTATCCCGACCACCGCTCCGAGCCCGGTCCGGATCTCTGCGCCCGACCTGACCCGACCCGCGTCCCTGTTCACCAGCAAATAAGGAGTTTCGAATCGTTACGAAAAATTGAAAATATCAGCAAATGTCCATGTGCACCATCAACTTGTAAGGAGGTTAAATAGTCATACGATGTGTCTGCTACATTCGTCTAGACGATATTTACTGATATATGCGTTATTCATGCTTTCAATATAGTTTTAATTCATTTCAGTGCACTTCAATAAATAAAATGAAATGCGTTTCTGGAAGCAATGTCGTGCTATTATTATTTATAACACGAACTAACGTTCATTGTGTAATGTTGATCGTGTTCATTAATGGTCTTCACCGTCGATCGTTTGGACACTTCCGTGACTGGGTGGCGGATGCTGGTGACCATTTGGGGGCCAGAGTACGGTCTTGGATATCAGCATTCTCAGCCCCTGCTCTGTTATAAATGGGCCCGCCTTCGAAGGCTATTTCAATGAATGGAACCTGGATCCATTTATTCAGATATAGTCAGTCACGTGTTAAGACTGCCAATGGTGAGGTAGCTGGCCCTCAAATAAACATCGGTGTTCCTATTTATTATGTGTCGCAACGAAGGTGAATCCGGTTTGCTTCATTTGTCTATTTCGAAAGGCGAAAGGCAATGAACCGTGTGCTGATGCCGTGTGCGTTGGCACAGTCGTCTCCATTTGTATGCTTTTATCGTTGTACGGCACACCCATTGCACTGGATTAGGTGTGTCGTTTTCCTCACTTGAGCTACTTTGGCCGGGCCGTCTGCAGGGCCATTAAAGTAAGCGGCTGTCGCGCCGGGTCCCCGCATCAGACAACACGGCAGCAGAGGTGCACTTAGCCGCTATTGGCCCAAGTGTGGCCGCGGGACGCTGGCGAGTGCTCTCCGTAAATATTATCGTTGTGTTTTAGCGTGTCGATACGGCTGTGTCGATGTGGAGGGGAGCTAATCATTACACTGCACGGGCGGGTCGGTGGGGCCGACCGGCGGCGCAGCGGCCGCTGGGTGACCGATAGCTCTGCCGCTCCGCCGGCACACACTCGGGCGCCGCACGGGAGAGCCGGGCCCGACCTGCGCGGCCCCGGTCCGACCTCCGTCGGTCCGACCGCCACCGCCGGACCCAGCAGCGACGGCTCACCGCGCCGCTCAGCGGGCCATGACAGCTGGCCCGACACATGCGTGTCTGTGTGTATAAGTGTGTGTATGTGTGTTCCTCCACCTGATTACGGCCGACTAGACCGCATCACGCCACGGGCTCGTTGAGCATTGATTTGTCGCGCGGAGGGCGGCAGGGACCGTACGGGGACCGGGGCGGCGGGGTGCCTCTATCAGCGCGGCGGTTGACGGCACGCGACGCGTTAGTGGCGGCCTTCGCTCCGGAGGCTCGCCGCGGCGGCTCATCCGGGCAGGGGTCTCGGTCGGCTCGCCGCGGCGGCTCATCCGCGCAGGGGTCTCGGTCGGCTCCGACTGCTGGCTCCTGCGCCGCCCGTCCTGCCACTGTTCCGCCGCCGGGCGCGTCCCCGACTGCTGGCTCCCCGCTCCACCCGGCGCCACTCACTCCGCTGTAACCGCGGCCAGCTGGCTGCCACCGCCGCACGGTAGATCCTCCCCTCGACTGGGACGCAGAGTGGTGCTCTTCTCACCGCCACCAACTCGGCTCATAAAGAGCGCGCCGCCAGCCACGCGCGCGCTAAACAGTCCCACATAAAACGGGTGCGGGCAATTAGGCTAGTGGGTGGTATCGGCGCCGGTGCCAGGTGCCGGCTGGCGAGCCCCGCCGGCAAACAGGCGACTAAGTGAGCCGCCCAGATTATCTAAACACCATTAGAAATGACTGCTTTCGCCGGCTGAGCCGCTAATGGGGGTAGCGCGCCGACAGCCGGTCCGCACCGTGCCACTTTAGCACGCGGTGCCAGCGAGGGCTCCACGGCCGGCCAGCTGCTGCCGTGGGGTCATAGCACGCGGTGCCAGGGAGGGCTCCACGGCCGGCCCCGCTGCCGTGGGGTCATAGCACGCGGTGCCAGGGAGGGCTCCACGGCCGGCCCCGCTGCCGTGGGGTCATAGCACGCGGTGCCAGGGAGGGCTCCACGGCCGGCCCTGCTGCCGTGGGGACTGGGGTCATAGCACGCGGTGCCAGGAGGGTTCCACGGCCGGCCCTGCCGCCTGTGGGGTCCACTGCATTGTCAGATGTGAATAAATACGAGTTTGTGCGGATGGAGGCCCACTGCCGGCTGGAGTGTGAGACGGGCCATCTCCGGCGCTGTCCTACATGTGACATTGTGACGCAGCCGCCCACCGGACCCGCCCCTCAGATTTCACGCTGCAATGCACTTGTCTGCATTGAATTCGGCTCACTGCTAGCTTATTTATAATACAATCATAAAATGACATGGATACAAAATATGCTGTATTTTTAATGCCCGAAGATTTTAGGCAAAATGATATAGTAAATGCCCTGTTTCCATTGTCATGTTTGCTTCTTAGATAATCTCAAGTCCATTTAAGCTGTTAATAAGTAGAGTGCAAACGCATAATCAAATGCTGTGCTGTTCCGACTAAGTACTCGATTCGTTTTGTTTTCAGACTGCTGTCCGAGTCCGGAGTCCGAGTCCGAGCGACTGGTGGCGGACGTCCGAGGTGCGGGGCTGAGCTGTGGTCCTCTACATCCGAGGTAAGGCGGTCCCCTGGTCCGCTGTGATCCGGGTGAGACGGTCCCCTGGTCCAGCTGAGGGGTGTTCCGCTCCTCTGGTCCGGGTGAGATGGTCCCCTGGTCCTCTGGTCCAGGTGAGGGTTGTTCCGCTCCTCTGGTCCGGGTGAGATGGTCCCCTGGTCCTCCGGTCCAGGTGAGGGGTGTTCTGCTCCTCTGTGGTCCAGGTGAGGGGTGTTCTGCTCCTCTTTGGTCCACGTGAGGGGTGTTCTGCTCCTCTTTGGTCCAGCTGAGGGGTGTTCCGCTTCTATGGTCCAGGTGAGGGGTGCTCCGCTCCTCTGGTCCGGGTGAGACGGTCCCCTGGTCCTCTGGTCCAGGTGAGGGTTGCTCCGCTCCCCTCTGGTCCAGGTGAGGAGCCCCCTGTTTCTCTGCAGTTCGGGTAGTGAAGATGAGCTGATGCTCTATCTAGATAACGGGCGCGGTGGCCGTCAGCCAGTGCCCGCCGACAGTCACACAGACACAGGGCCACAGGGGGTTCCACAGGGCCACAGGGGGTTCCACAGGGCCACAGGGGGTTCCACAGGGCCACAGGGGGTTCCACAGGGCCACAGGGGGTTCCACAGGGCCACAGGGGGTTCCACAGGGCCACAGGGGGTTCCACAGGGCCACAGGGGGTTCCACAGGGCCACAGGGGGTTCCACAGGGCCACAGGGGGTTCCACAGGGCCACAGGGGGTTCCACAGGGCCACAGGGGGTTCCCGCCGCGAGCGCGCTGTGGGAGGGGGAATAGAACTCGATAGGGGTGTGTGTTTGTGGGGGGGGGGGGGTCGCGTGCTGGCATGGTTACGTATGTAGATCAATCGGGTAATCGATAGGCGAAGCAACCTGCACCAAGTTCAAAATACTGCTTTTTCAGAGGTGCTCGAAGAAAATACACAAGGAAAAATTTCTAACTTAATCTGATTCGCTGATGATGTTTTGCTGATAAGGAGATTCGACTTGCTGATACGGAGATTCGACCTTCACTTATGTAACTGCTCTTTCCATGTAAATGTTGTTTTCTGACTCTGTCGGCTCCAGCTCGCAGGCGTGCAACCCCGCGCGACATGCTTTGCATACTTATGAAACAAACATCCACACTTAAACGGCAATGCATCTCTCCCATGAAGGGGTGAGCTCGCTGCGCCCGTCCCGGCCTGTGCCCCGCGACCCCCGAACCCCGACGTGTTCCGACTAAACGCCAATGGGCGGCTCAGGGCACGCGTGTCGGCGGGCATGCAGTGTGCAGTGTGCAGCGGGCGTGGAGTGGGGCCGCTGTCCGATAGTGGGGCCGCACGGGGACCGCAGTGGGACCTTCAGTGGTACAGATGTGGGAGCGCCGTGGGACCTCTGTTCGCCCTGTGAGACTGCAGTGGGACCGCAGTGGGACCTCTGTCCGCAGTGGGACCTCTGTCGGCCCATGGGACCGCAGTGGGACCTCTATTCGCCCGATGGGACCTGGTCGGTCGGGGGGAGGGGTCAGCCCTATACGACTGGCGCGGAGTCCGCCTGGAGACGGAGCTGTCGCTGTCCCCTCCCTCCCGTCCCGCATGTACGTCCCGCCTGTGCGTCCCGTCTGTGCGTCCCGTCTGTGCGTCCCGCCCGTGTCTCCCGCCTGTGTTGTCCTGTCTGTTACATACACCTTCCCCGCCTGTGTTTGCTGTCCTTCACATCAACTGCGCTTCCTAGCTGCCACGAGCCGGATTACTGGGTTAATTGGTGAGTGGTCCCCGCCTTGTTGCCACCGGGTTTATAGCATTATCGTGGTTATTCCCGGATATTCGACACTGGAAAGGTGGTATTACACTGGCGCACTCAATAACGCGTCTGGGGTGGTTGTAGGAGATTCATAATGTCGGTACAATTTTTTCCTTGCCACTGGAACTGGTTCGTTTGATCAAGGCAAGCTGCCAGATACTACGTTGTTGCCGGATGCCCAATGTTGGTGGGAGACCCTGCACCTCAACATGGCATTGGTAACTTGCTAGTTCTCAAAGCAATGTTACTCAACTATTTCGCGCAAATTTATTTCATGATTAAGTTTGTCCCCTCAATTGGATAAGTTGATTTAAGTGTAAAGTTGAGATGATTCGCAGTGGTATTAAACCGTTTGTATTTTTACGGTCCTCTAGCCCTTTTGTTTCCTTATGCCTGTCGTCGATACTAAGCGCATTAGTTGTAACATGGGTGTATTCGTATGGCTGCCTGCCCGTCTGGCCTCTAAACATTTCTGGTTGCCTAATCCGTATGCTGCCCATGGTTGCCACTGTGGATTATACGTCACTGACGTTTTAAACAGACGTCAGATGATGGACCTCGTATCGTCGCTCTTTCATCGAATGCCTTCAGTGCAGTTGCCCTTTGCTCCTATGATTGGGCTGATGTAATATTCGCCAAGGCTGCAGCAACCGACGTTCGACATACCACCATGAGCCGTCTTAGTGAGTCTCGGGTATAGGCCATTGGCGATGGCACTGGCAGAGAGCACCGAATGGGTGCACTGCCCGACTTAGCATTATAGTTTGCATAATCAAGTTAAGTGAAAATGGTCTAGCCCCAGCAGCCTCTCAGCCAGTGCGGTGACTCGCCGCCGCAGCTGTCCGCTCGTACCCCCCCCCCCCCCTCCTCCAGCTGGGGCCGTGCTCCGGGCCAGCAGCGGAGCCGGAGCAGCCGGAGCAGCCGGAGCCGGCGCTCTGGGCGGCGCGCTCGACAGCTGCGAGAGGTGCCATTAGCCGCAGCTTTGAAGACGGCCGGTAATCCCATCTGGGCGGGCCGGTAATATTTACCAGCTCCTTGTTGTGCGGCGGCGGCGGCGCACTTAGAGCGCATTAGTTGCAGGCCGGGTCGCGCGGCTGGCGCGCGGCTCGTTAATGGCGCGCCGCCGCCCGGATTCCGGCCGCTAATGGTGGCGGCGCGCGGCTGATTCGGCGCGCGCGCGCGCACGCGCCCCACTGCGGCCGGAATCCTGTGTGTGCGTCCGTAATGGGGCCGCGCTGCCGGCCGCTCCGGCTCAGTTCGCTGCCGGTCCCCGGCTAATGTCGGCAGCGCCGCGGAGCTGACCGAGTCGCGTCCTTCATCCACAGCCCACCGCCGGCCTGTCGTGTCCAATGCAGTTCCGTGGCCGTGTTTCTTCGTTCTTCACAAAAATCCTTGAGTGCGGGGAAACACGAACGGCTTGTGGAGCTGTTCCTCTTAACCGATGCATAAGAACCTGACAAAGCAACGTCTATAGTAGAGATAATTTAGAGCTAAAATATCATTGCACCATACCATAGCGGGATCGGCCGAGGCAGATAAGATATAACGCCGCACTCAGTAGCATGCATTCTTATAGGTATGTGTGTATGTGTGTGCCTGTGCGTAGCTGTGTGTCTATGTGTATTGTATTGCATTGTATTGTATTACTTTTGCAGAGCAGTCCACAATCAGTCGTGGCTATTATTGCCCCAATTCTTAAGGTAATGGGTAAAATCATTCAGGTTGCAGTCAGCTCAGTCATCGGTCATTGCCATAAAGAAGTAAGAGCATTTGCACACACAGCCTGGACTACATCCCGCGACCCACACACTGGGACGCTCTTACAATGTCATGTAACAGGAGCTCTCACAGCTCGCGCGACACGCCGCCTGTGTCTGTGTCTGGTGTGTCTGTGTCTGTGTCTGTGTCTGTGTCTGTGTCTGTGTCTGTGTCTGTGTCTGTGTCTGGTGTGTCTGTGTCTGTGTCTGGTGTGTCTGTGTCTGTGTCTGGTGTGTCTGTGTCTGTAACTGGTGTGTCTGTGTCTGTGTCTGTGTCTGGTGTGTCTGTGTCTGTCTGTGTCTGTGTCTATGTCTGTGTCTGGTGTGTCTGTGTCTGTCTGTGTCTGTGTCTATGTCTGTGTCTGGTGTGTCTGTTTCTGTGTCTGGTGTGTCTGTGTCTGTCTGTCTGTGTGTGTCGCCGTCGTTAGTGTCGCTCTCGGCTCCGCTCGTTAATGTCGTCGGCCCGACGAGTCCCTCGTTATCTCGCATGACGTCGGCGTATCGCCGCCTTGTTTTGGACTCAAACCGGGCCTAATTTGCGGCGGAGCGGCCACCCGGCCACGAGAGGGAGCTCAGGGGGGAGAGACGGGCCGCGCTGCAGCTGTGGGCCGGTAGCGGAGGGAGACGGGAGAGACAGGGAGACGGGACCGCCGTGGGCCGTTAGCGCAGAGACAAGGGAGACGGGACCGCCGTGGGCCGGTAGCGCAGAGACAAGGGAGACGGGACCGTCGTGGGCCGGTAGCCGAGAGAGACGGGAGAGACAAGGAGACGGGACCGCGGCCGTGGGCCGGTAGCTAAGGGAGATGGGAGAGACAGGGAGACACAGGACCGCCATGGGCCGGTAGCTAAGGGAGACGGGATTGCCGTGTGTCGGTTGCCGAGAGAGACGGACGCAGGACCACCGAACAAGCGCCTCGAATGAGTGTCATGACTCATGAGTGACAAGAGTGTCGGTTTCAGTCTACAGCCGTGATGGTTTTATTAAGCGAATCTGCAAACATTTATACCTTCCTACTGATGATATATGTAGTTAATTCAGAAATTGAGCAAAGCTCATTCATCGTATAGTTCGTATTTTGTAAGGCATAGTAATGCATACCTTGCATTCTGATGGTGTCCATATTTTAATTCCAACGAGCATTTTCACATATTGTATGCATTGGACATGCGGGCAATTTCAAACGAGGTGTATAGTGCATAGGTAATGATTTCATTATCCAGTTGCCGCGTAGTTTTAAATGTAACATGTGTAGCGGGTAGCGCCCCCACTGTCGCCTTTGACGAGGCGTCAGCGCGGCCGCGGGGAGGAACTGAATCCAATTCCCGGTACCACCCTTCCTTCGCGGCTGCGAGATGCCTGCAGGACACGCATATGGAGACAAATCCATGAGACCTTAATGGCATAATGCTACGATGGGCCCGCGATCACTCTGGCATGTGTTCACGCAACAACACCTGACCTGATTGCCG